AGGGTGGAAAACGGTCCAAAAATGAAACTCACAGGCCCAAACAAGGTAAATATTGAATATTTGATATTATTTCGGAAGCTTGACTGAATCTGAATCGCTGTGAACTCAAAGCACACAATTCAACTTTTATCATCGAGTGTATCGAACCAAGTGCCTAAGTCTTGCGGGCGGTCAAAAATGGGATGTCTACAAATGGTCAAATAAAATATTCAAATAACAAATTTTGTCCTTTATACAGAATTTTATAATTATAAGAGAGTTTTGAAAGTATTAAATTTTTTTCTATCCTTTTAACAAGAAAAGGTAGACGAGAGAGGTTTATGACCAAATTTCCCTAACATTTATTGGTTGTAATCTCAAGTGGAAAGAGTCTTCCTTACATGATCTTAAGTGTAAGTCTCGCCTCATCCTCCTATCTATCTATTTTTTGTTTTTTTATAATTGTTATAGATAATTGAACACTTGGCATAAGGAAAGACAAAAGACACCAATCTAGGTGCTTACATATATAAGAGTAATGTTAGAGATCCTAAAAATTCTATCAAAAATTTTATCAAATGTCTCATATGGATGTGAAACCTATACAATGTGAGTCTCATGTGAGTCCCACACTCATGTGAGATATTTGGATTCTATCTTGTATAACTTTGTAACTAGGGATTACTTTGAAGAAGGCTTTTCTTTCTAATAAGGTCATATGTCAAGAAATTTTGTAACTAGAGATTACTTTGACGAAGGAATTGCTTCTTTTTCTAATAAGGTCATAGGTTAAGAAATTTAAAAGGATGTTGCACATTTTGTATAAAAGTGAATGTAATAGAGAATATATAATATTTTTAAGTTGGGTAATGTTTTGGTACAAGTTATGTCATTTGTAAGTTTTGAAGTCCAAAAAAAAATGAATTATAACTAAATAATTTTTGAATCATAACTAAAATAATATCATAATTAACATCACAATGTATCATAATTAATAATATAATAAGTCATAATCAAAAACTCAAAAGTCGGTAAGTCATAATCAAAGACTTAAATATTATAACTGAAAGTGTACGTTAATATATATCTTAAGAGTACATATTCACAAGACTCATAAAAATAATGTGCTTTTTTAATTTTTTTTGAATTTATTTTCTTCTATTATATAGTTGGGGACTTAGACCATTCAACTTCCAACCAACTAGATAGGTGTAACTGTGTGGTGTCGAAATAAAGACTAATCGAAGCCATTTTTGAATTTTTAAATGGAAAATATTAATTAATATATATATATATATATAATATAAAGATACGTAAATGTACAAGAATATATAAAATATGTTAATAAAATTTTTATTTTTTAATATTATTTAATTAATGCTTAACTAAATAACACTTTTTAAAATTCAATAATGTCCTGTAAGAAAAAGATCCGACCCCCTCTGGGGTCACCCCTATGAACCCTACTAGCCTCTGATTAGTCAATTTTTTTTAGTTTTTTTTTTTGTTTTTTTCAATCACCAACCCCCATGTGTGTGTGGTGGTGGGGGTGGAGGCTTGAGGGGGTCTCAATCACAGCCCATGTTCTATATTCTCATACCTTTTTGATGTAATTAGATGAGTTGTCATTCGTTTGAGAAGTGGATTGGTTTTTGAACTTTTTAATTTTTTAACTATTTTATTCTGAGACTAAAAAGTCTCGTTTGGAAAGGGTTTTTTTGACTTTTTTTATTTTTTGTGAGAAAAAGAATGTAATAATTATGGATTAGATGTGATGTTTTGTCTTATTGGATTAAAAAATTTATTTTATCTTTTGATAACTAAAATAACTTCAAACTCAACTCAATTTAACTCTTCTTTCCAAATGAAGCTTATATAATTTTCTTTAAAGAGCAAAACAAGTATTGCTTTCCAGAGACGTGTCAAAAACAACACTAATAATCTTGATATTGACATGAATGATGCAGGCCAACTCTCTGAAACTCATATAAATTATAATAAAAGCTTGGTCCTCTTTGGCCTACTAAAATAAATTATTTAGGTGTGGTCAGTTATGGAAATTACTTCTATAACTTCTCATATAAACAGCTCCCCTTTCAATTCGCAAAAAGAAATCAAAAACATGAAAAAAGAAAAAACGAAAAAAAAGAAAAGAATGGGTTATTAATTAGCTAGTCTAACTAACATGAAAGTAAATAAAATTATTATTTTAATGACAAATGTGATCTAACTATATATCTACAATAGTCTGACTAATTATATGAAAACGAACAAAACTATATCTAACTATTTTTTTAAGACAAGCGTGATCCATTCATGTATTTATGTATTTATTATTATCTAATCTTTTTTTTTTTTGCATTAATAATTTTATAAAATAAATAATTTAAATTATTAATATAAATCCTGTAATCTACAAAGGCTCAACAACACGGTCTAATTGGTGAGAGAGAAGAATTTGGTTACTTGGCTCCATTAATTTCTTTGGGTCAAAATATGAGAATAAGAGAAAATAGAAGACCAGTGACAGTTCACACAAAATGTGCGAAAACAATTGTTTTAGACAAAAACAGCGAGGACACTCAAACCCAAAACACAATTTATTAAATGTGATAATAATGGTCAAATTTTATGATAATAATAGTCACATAATTTATTAAATGTCTTTAAAAATAAATAATAAATAATAAATATAATTTTAAAATAGATTATTTAAATAAATCTTATAAAATTACATGATTATAAATAACAGATTAATTTGATTTTTCCCCCCAAATGATCCATCCAGAAAGCTACAAAATGAATAGATTAAATAATCAAAATAAAATTTCCTTAAAAAAAATCACTGAAAAAAAATTTACGGGTCCAAAAAACGGGTTGTTTGGGGTGTCCTAAATAAGTGCATTTTTTGACTTTTTGAACTAAAAAGTTGAGGAAAAAATATTTGGGATACCTTTTTGACTTTTTATGAAAAAATATGTATTAAAAAATTGTATAAATTAGTATATAGGAGAAGATGGTGAGGAAATAGGCAGTACTGTGAGGAAATAGGAGGACAGCGTGCGCAGAGTGTACCTGGAATATGATTCTCTGCTTTTCGTGTATTGAATTAGAGGTGTTGTTCAGCCCTTGGGGGCCCACCACGGGTCTCGTTTTACTAATCAAAACTGATCAATGTGTAGAACTCATCGAGTACTATATGTTTGTAAAAAATCACGTTGATCGGATATCGATAACTATCTGATCGAATTAGTTTTTTTTTCAACCGCTAGCTATAACACCAACTATTTTATAAATTTTTACTGTTTTGATCATATATTTACCGATATCCGATCAACGTGATTTTTTACAGACATATATTATTCGATGAGTTCTACACATTGACGATTCAGATTATTAAAATGGAACCCGTGATAGTCCTTACGGGCCGAACATCACTGTGTTATTTGTGCACCTAAAACCGTGCAATTTTTCCCAAAAGTCACCTCCGCTGTTGGACCGCAGAGCTGTCTAAAAATGTAATTATGTGTTAAATTAATTTTTTAATTTTTTTTTTAATAAATAGTAATAACATTTTAACTTTTAAAATAACTTTTTAATTTTTTGCCTTTTCCCATCCGTGCCAAACTGGCCTACCCATCCCTAAACAAAATGATGTGAAAATAATTGGTTTAAAACATAAAGGGAGTCGACATTCAAACATGAAAAATAAGAGTCATAGCCCACTCATATTGACCCTATGAAAACTGGCCTTTTTAAAACAACTTTCCCACCATGTGTTTGGAACCATTCAAAGCATTATTCACAATCCAATCACTTGTCTTCCATATATACCAATCTTCATCCCAATTAAGAAACAAACAACTAAAAAGCTTCTCTTTTTTTTTTTCTTTTTTTTTTTTTGCCTCTGAATTTTGCACAGATTTTTTTTAGCAAGCCTTCAGAGAGTCTGAATGGCCATGTTCTTCAATTTCTTGGGCTGTTTTTCCGAATCATCTTCGCAGCCCAGTCAATACGTATGCAATGGCGACGTCTGTGTATTGCGCAACAGAGATAGCAATGGCGGGAAGAAAAACTTGAAGAACAAGCGAAAGCAGAGTCTTTGGATTCCATTTTCCCGCCTTTCCCTGCGAAGAACTTGATTTTTATGAGATATTCTCTCTCTGTCTCTATATATATGTATAAATGCTGTAAAAACAGAACATGTTGTCAGTAAGGGTTTGGATGAAGCTGTGCATGATGCCATTGAAGAATCAGTGAAAAATGTGTTGCAGAATCAATTTCCGATTGCAGCAGGTCCCATATTGTATTCATTTTCTGGGGTAGCTAAAGAAAACCCATTTCACATTTTAGCTTGTCGAATTCACTACTTGGTTGTTGAATTGGATTTGTAATTTCTTTAGAGTTGCAACAAGAAAATGATTCTGCACATGAATTGGAGAATCAGTTCGCTTTTTTTCTTAGTTCAACAATGGTTACTTGGGGAGAAAAAAAAAAACCGATGGATACTTGGGGAGGCATACAATCTTTTGTTCTTAAATTTCTTCTTATTATTGTTATTATTATTATTTATCTCAATACGCTGCCAAAAGCATGATTTAATAAGAATCTTAAAATGCAAGAATTTCAAGATATTGAGACAAAGGAAGTGAGATGTGTGCAGGATGGGAGGAGATTGTGGTTAAGTTTAAATGATGCATTTAGTTTCTAATAATTAAGCATGTTGAGTATTGTATTCATTTTAGTTTTCATTTTTTTAGTTTTCAAAAACAAAACAATGAACATTTTGAAAAAAAAAATATATATATATATATATTAAGAACATAAATGCATTTTCTGGCAAATTCAAAAAATGTGTAGGGTTTTATTCTCTCTCTCACACACACACACAAAAAAAAAAAAGAAAAAAAAGTGGCCCTGAAACAATAATCTCAAGACATTGAGACAAAGGAACAGGAGACACGCATGACAATGATAGCACAATAATCTCAAGACATTGAGACAAAGGAACAGGAGACACGCATGACAATGATAGCATAAAAATAGCAAAATCAAGACGATTACATGTGAGGTATCAGAACGCAACAGAATTACTTCTCATCCATTCATAATTAATGTACAAGGAATCAAATGGATTTCAAGTGTAATTCACTGGATTAACAACTCGTAAACATGGATTACTATAATCTAAATACTAAACAACCTTAAGCTCAACAATTTCTAATACAATAACCTGATTACATGCCGTTGCAAGTCAGTAAAATCCTCATTCAATGTAGTAGACACATCGAAACCCCATCATATAGTGCCTTTTCATCAAACTAATCTGGACAATCATCCTATTTGGCAAAACCCGAGTCAAGATTTAGAATATCCGGTCCAATACCTTGCTAAAATGCTCAGCTTTCTTCTCTTTATGTCCTATTTCTCCACCCAAAAAAAAAATTGTTGAGCAGCCTCAGAGTTGCAACACAAGGTCAGGTTGCTGAGAGTCCACCAGAACTCCTGAAGACTGTCGCACAGGTGATCCCGAAGACTGGAAATCAATGTTCAAGTCCGGAGGAAGCGATTCCTGTTTCTGTTGTGCCTGCTTTTGTGGATTCAGGACCTGCCACGGAGACTGCATTTGAAACCTAGACAAGTCGGTCGTTACTAACTGAGGGACAACCACCGGTCTATTTTGGAATTGAGCTTCGCAGCCCCTCTGGACAGGCGGTGTCATAAAGGCTTGAAGTGGAAAGTTGTTCTTTGTGGGCTGAAAATGCATCCCAGAACCAGCAAAATCGCCCTGAAATCGCGAAACTTGCAGCTGGAGTTCCCTAGTAGGGTTGTATAGAGAATCCGTAGATATCTGATTCTTGTGGCCCGCCCCGGCCCCTATTGACATCCATGCTCGTGCAGCGGCTGCAGCAGCATTTCTTGGATCATCTTTTCCCGAGTATGGAACTGATGGCACTATTGATGGGTTGTCAACTGAGGAATGATTTAAAGATTTCTGCTTCTTTTGAGCATTTTCAGCCAACATTCTCATCAACTGGACAGGGTCACCAAGACCCTGCTCCTGTCCACGGGAAAAATGAGTAGCTGAAGTCACCATGTGGTTGGGAATACCATTTATGCCCGAACTTTTACTCAAGTCTCTTCCATTTGGCAATCTTCCCGAAACAAACCCATTATTCTCTGGCTGCTTAAAAGGGACAGAGGACTGCAAAAGATTCCTGTTCCTTGAAACCGTCTCCGTTGACGGTGAACTTGGTGCATCCGAAGAACCATTTGGAATTTGCTTCTCTGTAACGAAATCACGTGCATTTTGATTAGCTGAAGATGGAGGACGATTCAATTCAACTTGCTTTACAACCTTTTTTTCCGGTTCAACATTCCTGGATCGTGGGCTTTGCTGCAGATAATTCGCACTTGCAGTAGTAGTAGCAGTAGTAGTAGTTGTAGGAGGAGGTCTGCTCCCTCCAAAGAAAGACTGTTTACCTTCCAAATTAGCCCCCTTAATAGACTGAGCACTTGCAGTAGGAGTGGAAGTTCTTTTGGTTATAGCAGCACGGGACAAAGATGACTTCCCTTCTGAAATTGGCACACTAACAGTATGCTCCAGGGCAGAAACCGTGGTCTTAGAAGTTTTTTCATCCTTTCTTGCACCAGAAGTATCATGCAACTTTGGAAGAAAAATGGGTTCTTTTGGGGAACAGTTTTCCAGCATTAATACAGGTGTTGGAAGTGGCTCGTAATCTCCAACCCACCCACGACCAAATTTGAACCCTGGAGGTAGAGCCTGTTCAATCCTCTTGGAGGCAGCCTTCCAAGCAACAGGTCCAAGTGTTGCAGCAAAACGAGCCAGGCTCCGGGCATACGAGTGATCTGCATGAAGCCCAACCTGATTCAGAAAAATGAGGAGTACATGAGTAAAGAAGCCAACTCAGCCAAAATTGCCATTTGTGACGTTTCGAGTAGTTTCTGTGTCACATACAGCAATCAGCTGCTTAATTTCACCATCAAAAGTTGTAAATATTGACTCAGATCTGGACACTGGTTGATTGGAAATGTGGTAAGTTGCACGACGATTTTCATCATTTGTGGAAGGTTTCCTCCCAAATCTAGGTAGAAGACCCCTCCCTGAAATATTGAAGCAAGCAGAGTAATGAGAAGGGAAGAACAGTAATAAAGCTCTCAACAAGATACTTGAAGATGATTTAGCATTATATAAATGAAGTTGATTCGGTTCCATTTCCGTGTAAAAATATTGGATGTCATCACCAGTTATCCGCTTCTACCAAATCAGAATAAATTTGGGTATCTGATTCAAGAAACATGATCATTACTACAACCATCATTATTTTATTTTGTTTTTCAAAAAATATCCTCAAAATATCAATCTTTGATATTTATAAACTGGTAGAGATCAAGTATTTTAATATCATACATACCTGATAGTAAATCGTCTGCCTTATCCAAATTGTTATCAATCAGCGAAGTGTTTCCCTCTACAGATCCATCGACATTGCTAAGCCTCTTAAAACCACCAGATTGGGTTGCATTTGACCCACATTGGAAATCCCCGGCTGTGGCAAGAGTGGCACCTGAGGAGAATTCAGAACCAACAGGTTCTTGTGCAGTCCGGCTCATTGGCTTCTTTATTTGCTTCTTAGGCAAGGAGTTAGATTTTGTTTTCTGTTCTGAGCTGAGCTCTTTCTCAGAGTGTTCGGTATCAATCCTTAACCTCTGAAATTTGTTTTTTGCTAGCTCTTCGATGGAACGTGCCTTTCAGAAATAGTTGTGTAATCAGATGAAGTGATTAACACACCAGAATGGGCAAAACAAAAGGAACTGAACAGAAGAGGGGGGACGGGGGAAGTCTATACCTGTTTGTGGTATATGGTATCTGGCGCATTATATTTCATTGCATTTGTGCAAATTAGAAAGACATCACTCTGCATTCAAACAGAACAAACTTTACAAAACCAATAGAAAATAACTGGAATGTTTTCCCCCTTAAATATAATGTACTGGGGTGGATAAAGTTGACCTCATAAATCAAGTTATTCAGAGACTGAAATTGAGGAAAAAGCACCAAATTTTTTATTTTTTATTTTGAAAGAAGACTCCAATTACATACAGGTTCAGTGTTTACAATGACAAACACAAACAAAGGTGATCCATCAGATGTAACTGCTATCATTTTTTGGAGATATCATTGATGCATTCATATCTTACCCATTTAAGAGTAACTTCCAATACTGCCCTCCAAATGTTGGATATTATTGAGTTCATATAATAAAGTAAGCAAGGATATCACATAAAAGTAATCATTTATAAGAGCAACTTCCAATACTGCCCTCAAAATGACTTTTTACATTATTCCAAAAATTCTCATTTATCCTGCATTTTGCCACTTACCTATCAAGGAAGCATAAAATTCTCTCTTCTATCAATCTCTCCAATCTTATAGTCTAGTATCAAATATTGAAAATGATTATGTATCAATTGTTTAGTTGAAATTATCAAACCTCATTTTTCCCTTCAGAAATCATGCAATGATAGAGCTTAATATTATGCACATTTATAGATGCTTAAATAAATGTACAAGAGGTATGTCTATACAATAAAAAGAGAAACAGCACCCAACTATAAGCATTAATGATCTATTAAAACTTTTGATAATACACACTTTCGCCAGTGATCTCCATTCTCTCGCATGAATGCGTATTTATGACACTTCTACCAATGATTTCCCTACCGAAGGGAAACATCCCCCAACTCTAAGCATTTATGACCTTTTAAAACTTTAAATTCAATTATTTGACAAATAAACACTTCAGTCAATGATTTTCATTCTCTTCCATGAATGCACTTTATTATCAACATAGCCGTCTAAGTAAATAAAGTACCAAGGTCGAACTGGAGAGATTTTTTTTTTATCTAAGACACAAAAGAAAATGCAAAGGTGTATGAGAAGGGCAGGCACACATACAGAAATTCATCGAACAAGCAATTTATGGCAGTTTGTGTATACTGTAAACCAATCTAACGTAGACAATGCAAATGCAGAAATTTGAGGTTTCTACAAAATAAAAGTTAGAGGTCATGACATAGAGGTGCTGCATTTGACAGCCAATTACGTGCAGCAATAGAGCTTAAAATGTCTTTTCTCCATTATACCAATAGGAAAATATAAACCACAATATTATGTCTATACTCTATAGTTAGCTTCAAAAAGAATGCCCACAAAGAAACCAAGTCGAAGACCAATTAACATTATATACATCATCAAAGAAATTTTAATGAACAACAGAAACAAATTCAATTTCCTACAAAAACAATGAAATCAGTTGGACAAGGTCTGGATAAAACCCGATCCGGGGCCAAAAAAAAAAATAAAACACCTGGGCAGTGACCAAGAAAAGGCAATATTATGGATGAATTGATGGTACCCACCTCAAATTGTTCCAGGGTTGAATATGATCCATTTCCCAACTTCTTCCTCACTGAGCCAAAGTCCATTGGATGCTTAATCACAACATGATAATCAGGAAGCTACAAGAGAACAACACATTACAAACTCCAATTCACAAGATACCTTTCATTAGTATACAACATTGTTAAAAGAGAATCAATTACCTCTTCCGGATCAACAGGTTCAGCATACGCACCATAAATATCCTTCCTGACACATACAACCAAATTTGAAATGAGAGAAGCCAAAGCCATTAGCTTCAGAGTAAGACACAGGAGTAGAAAAATGTATCCCTACTTCTGAAGTTTGTCAAGAATCAACTCCAATGAGTTCTTGTCAGGCAAAGGAGTCCCCATTGGAGGATCCAATGGTGTCCCTGATCAAACAAAAGCAAAAATTAACAACCCAAATCAAATTCCACGTACAAAATAATCAAAACCCATTACTTAAAACAAAAAATGAACCAATCAAAACAAACCTGGAACAGAGTCTCCCCCCTTGGATCCTTTTTTTCTCCCTCTAACCTGCCATACATAATAAAAAAAACCAGAATCTTGAAAACCCAAATAAATTTGATACTACACAGAAGCAAATAGGATAGAGATAAAGACAGAGGGAGGTTAGACAGAGAGAGTACTACACTGCGTGCTAGTGAAAGAATGGAGGGTAGAAAGAGAAAGTTGGAGCGTGATCAGATTCTATGAAGAGTGTGGGGGTTAGTTTTGGCAGTTGACCCGACCGTTAAAATCAATCTCCCGACACAGATATATATATATAGAGAGAGAGAGAGATAGAGAGAGAGAATTGTATAGATGTCTGGACCAATTAGAAAAATCTCAGTGATTTCAGCTGAGCTGGACACTCTCTCTCTCTCTCTCTCTGTTAAAGCCTTTAAAAGCCCTCACACTCACACTACTGAGTCATATCCAAATTAATCGTACCTCTTCGCGATCATGATCAATTTCATCGCCAAAATCGCCGTGGACTTCGATTTTCCTCTTCTTCAATGGATTATCGGCATCGCCGTAGTCCGACGAAGAAGCCGAGGCAGAAGGCGCGTGTTCCACGCGCTGAGTTCGACTCGGAGTTGACTCACCATCGCCATCTTTGCTCTGGAGCTTGAGTAGCAGCTTCAACTTCTTCTCTCTCCCACGCTCGTCTTCCTCGTCCTCGACCTCATCGTCATCGTCGATGTAGTCGTCGAAATCAAAGGTGTACCTCACATTCCGGCGCCGGCGGCTACGCCGAACGTCACTCTCAGGCTCGGCGGCGGCGCGGCGTGCGAGATCTGCCTTTGACGGTCGACCCTTCTTCTTCCTCTTCACGATCTGACCCATCTTTTTCGGCTCCGAGCCTCACTCCCCTTCTCTCTCTATCTACTCTCTTTCTCTCTCTTCCGTTTCACTCCATTATTTTTCTCTAGTGCGTTTGGCTTTTTCGGGTGTGGGGGGGCGGGGCGGGGGGGGGGGGGGGGGGGGGGGGGGGGGGGGGGGGGGCGTACCGAGGCCCAGGATTATAATGATTGTTGTCAGCTGTGCGTAGAGAGAGAAACGGCGTTAGTGGCTGAGAAAGACGGCGTTTGGTGCTGCCCGGATTGCCCGAAGGGTTTGCGTGTCCAGTGGTTTGCTGCCATCGTCCTTGCATATTTTCACATTTCCATTTCTGGAGAAGTTTGTTTGGTGGAAAGTTGTGGCGCGTGCACTTCACCTTCCACGTTTTAGTGATAATTAATTAAATTTGATTTTTTTTTTTTCCTTATGGTGCATATATGAAATAAGAAAAATATTTGGGAGCACTAAAAATGGAGCATTAAAAGGAGCATTAATGATGTGGCAGTGGGCCCCGTCCACTTTCTATGCCTTGTTTTTTTTATTTTTTTATTTTTTTTACCATTCCCAATGCATTAGTGCTATTAGTGATGTATTTTTTAGTGGTCTAAATCATTGTTGATGAAATAAAGGTTTATGTTGAGAAATAGGTTAAAATTCAGTTTTTTAGTTTTATTCTGACTTTTTTAAAATAAAAAAAAATATGCAAAAAAAATAAAAAGATAATATAACCAAAAAAAAAACTAAAAAATTTACTGTTAATTCAGATGCCAAAATAGGTGAAAGTTCGATTTATTTTGGTTATGAAAACATAATTAATTAAATATATTGATAAAAATATAAATTATTATTTTAAATATTTTTTTTATTTGTAGCATTGTACTTTATATATATATATGTATATATATTTTTTCTCTATTATTATTAATATTAGGGGTTGTTTAGAATGACCTAAATAAGTACATTTTTTGTCTTTTTACGAAAAGATGTACAGAAAAATAAAAAGGTGGTATGATAAAAACAAGATAAAAAAATAAAAAAATGAATTATGTTGGAGTAGTCAAACTTGACCTTAATCATCACAAGTAATGATAGAAGCACACTCTAAATACATAATTGAACACATATGTCTTATATGGAATATATCTCATATAATGCAGGACCTACATATGAGATATATATGTTTCAGTCTGTGTTTAAAATTTATGTTTCTAAACTTATTGGAATCGTCACTAATCACCAGTGACTTTCGATGAGTCACCAGTATAATAGTAACATTTGACATTTTGACAAATGAATAGAAAAATAGAGATATGTTTTTTTAAAGGGGAATTGACCAGTAAATCCCATTTTGTGGACTTGTAATCCATAACGTCCTGAATGTTTTCTTAATGACTGGGTGATCCCTTAATTTGTTTGTTGACAGTTTTGCCACTGTTAGTATTATTGATTGACATTTGGTGTGGGTTTGTATGGGATAAGGTGAATGGGTGTTTGTATGTCACGCTGATCGAAAAAGCACACTAATACTTTTTTTAATTTAGTAAGTGTGTAACACTCAGAACATGAGACGTGGGTTGTGACGTGAACGCAAGTAATTTGACACTTTTTTTTTTTTTTTTCTGTAACGTGGGTTGTGTCACATTTCGGCTTTCCCACAGTTTGACCCTTTGTTTTCCAATTGCCATTTGTGACGTTTCGACGTGAACCTTACCATTGGTTGGGTTCGCAACATAACCCAAAAACATGGATCTGAATTACTAAAGCAAGCCCAGGATTGCGAATTCAATGTCGAAACATGTTGCAACGTCATGTTCTTCGGCGAGTTCCGCATAGGGCGCAGAGCATGCATGCATTGGTTAACATTGAAAACCAGGAAAGAGATTTGACAAAGAAACAATTTTGGTCAATCCCAATACACAATTCTTTCTCCAATTATGATTATGTAAACAACCTACAAATTCTTCTTTTATATCAGTTGTATACATATACATATACATATATATACCACATAAAATATATGAAAACATTATTCACAGAACCCATCAGGTGATCAAGCCATTCAATTAATGAGAAGTTTAGAAAAAGAATCGATAAAAGACATATATATACACACAAATTGTTAAATTTAGGCAATCAATAATCGATCTGCCCGATTCCGTCATCAACGTCTTGTACTTTGTTTTCGAGTCGATTTGACGATGCCGACGTGGTACGCCGACATGCCGGATTGACGATCATCTTGTGCCCATTATTCACGTCGATCTGGGGTTCCTCGATCGAACTCAAACCGGTCACGATCGATTCAGAAGAGGCCCTCTAAAAAACGGATTTAGTACTGTTCACGTCGATCTTGTGCCCAATGTTCACGACAATCATCTTGTACCCATTGTTCACGTCGATCAGCCTGATTCCTTCATCATCGTCTTATACTCTATTTTCGGGTCGATGGGACGATGTCGACGTGGTACACCAGCCTGCATGGTCTCCGGCTCCATCACGGTGAATGTGGACTCCGTCGAGGTCGCCGCCAGATTGGAGGAGAGTGCCGTCGGGGAGGAACTGGCCGAAGGAGCACCAAGTGTCGGTGAGGATGGTGAGGGGGCGGATTTGAGAGGTGTGGAGGTTGAGGAGCACGAAGTGCGCGTAGCAATCGTGTTTGAGCACGGGGTCGTGCGGGTCGTTGCGGCAGTGGCCTTTTCGAAGCATTTTGCATGACGGTCCGATGTTGGTTCGGTCCAGGAGGACTACGGTGTTGAACATTGTCACGGCGGTGTGCATTGATGCAATGCCAGCGTTCGCCACCACCACTTCCCACGTTCTGGGCAAGTCTGCACGTGTCATGATCAACAAAGAGAGACACAGGAATAGAAGGAACAAGAAGATCGAATTGGACATAGCCATTTTTTAGAGAGAGAAAATGTGTGCGTGTGTGTGTGTGTGTTCAGTCAGTGTATACTTACTACTGTCAGTGCAGTGCTTACTTAAAAAACCATGAGTTGAAAGGTCGGGTCGAGTCGCGAACTGGGCTGAGTTCACCAGAGAACATACGCCGCATGGTCTCCGGCTCCATCACGGTAAATGTGGCTGAGGCTTCAACCAATGGAATACACTATCACACCTACACCCACCCCCACCAAACGTGGGATTACATATAAAAAAATGAAATTATAACAGCCCATAATTGATGTGAGGGTATATTTGTCCCCCACATAACAATGTAATTCAAAAAAGGAGTTATCAGTAAGATATCTCTACTATCATGGACTGCCCAATCAAACAAAATATTTGTGGGACCAAATGGAATATAATTTCGCCATATGGGACTTTCTGATAAATTCCCCTTTTTTATATTTATAATTACTCTTTTATCAATTGAAAAGAGAGAGAGAGAGAGAGAGAGAGAGTAAAATCATTTATTTTGGTTATGAAAACATAATTAATTAAATATATTGATAAAAATATAAATTATTATTTTAAATATTTTTTTATTTGTAGCATTGTACTTTATATATATATATATATATATGTATATATATTTTCTCTATTATTGTTAATATTATGAATTGTTTGGAATGACCTAAATAAGTATATTTTTTGTCTTTTTATGAAAAAATGTACAAAAAAATAAAGAGGTAGTATGATAAAAAAAAAGATAAAAAAATAAAAAGATGAATTATATTAGAGTAGTCAAACTTGGCCTTAATCATCACAAGTAATGATAGAAGCACACTCTAAATACATAATTGAACACATATGTCTTATATGGAATATATCTCATGTGATGCAAGATCTACATATGAGATATATATGTTTCATTCTGTGTTTAAAATTTGTGTTTCTAAACTTATTGGAATCGTCACTAATCACCAGTGACTTTCGATGAGTCACCAGTATAATAGTAACGTTTGACATTTTGACAAATGAATAGAAAAATAGAGATATGTTTTTTTTAAATAGTTATTATTCTTTTGAGCAATAAATAATAGAATTTAAGGCGATTGTTTCAAAAGTTTTAAATTTAGTTTATGATCCAATACTTATATATATAATTCTAGGTAAATTACATTACTCGCTTGAGTTTTAGAGAAAACATAATTAACTTCATGTTTAATATAATCATACTAATTTCTTTTTTAAGATGGTTAAATCGATCAAAGATATTGTCAACGATGGGTAAATACTAAAATAAATAAAGATAAATATAGATTTTAATTAAAAAAATATACAATAATATTTGTTTATTCATACGGCTAATGAATCACTGATGAAAAAGAGTTTAAATATTATGTGAATTAAGGTTTTTAAAAAAATTAATATAATTATATCAAAAGTGTAAAATTATTATTATTATTTTTTAATTTCATTGCCTATAATTTGTTTTGGGCCTTGCCAATAAATGTTCCTAATGTAGGACAATCTTCACTGTATTTAAAAAGATTAAATTCTGTTGTGTACAAAACAACAACAAGTATAAAAGAAATAGAGAAAATAAGAGAATTTGTTTGATTACAAAAATCAAACTCGAAATAAAAATAAATAAATAAAACCACAGATTTTATTTTGTTACAAAAACAAAAATAAAATCTGATTAAATAAACATAATAAAAACAGAATAAAATTAAACAACTTACTTGGTTAATTTATTTGAATAACTTTTCTGATCAAGTCCAGTGTTTAACACTGTGTCCTTAAGACAGATTCGTCCTCTCCACGGTGCTTTCAGAATTTGGACGTCTATCTCCCAGGATGAAATGATCTTACAACAAACAATAGCAGCACTACAAATTGTTTGCCTTACGAACACACTAAGTGTTTACACTATTTCTTTCGGAAATAATATGCAGCAAGATGAAGAATATAATTTGCAGAGGATGGAGTACGAAAATTGGAATTAAATCGAAATGTGATGCTAGTCTATTTATAGATGCAAAGGTGACTCTTGGTTTTGAATTGAACAGGTATGAAACCTGTTAGATTCAAATTTAAACAGATTTGAATCTGTTTATTCAAACAGATAGAAACGGGAAGGGCTCTGTTTGGATGAGCAATAAATCCAAAACAGTTTAATTCTGTTTGAAAACGGGAAGGGCCTTGTTTGGATGAACA